GCGGGCGTGATGCTAAAAAATAGAGCGCTTCAGGTCTTGGGAACGTCAGGACTTTGAAATGCACTGAATGATCTTCAGAATGCCTATTTCAGGCCTAAGCCCCGTGCAAATGTGGAATAGTTTCTCAGGGAATGTTCCACACTCGAAGATACTGAAGCAGGCATCAGACATGATTGAAAATAACCTCATAACTATTGGTATATTTTGAAGTAGAAAAGGTTGCTCTAGACAACACAATTTCCGTACTGAGTAAATAAGCTTCTCAATACGTCATTGTTCGATTACGTCATCGTACCTTGCACAATATTTATTGAGGACCAATAGATGGCACTCATATCTGGAAAGTATGCTTATGAACGCCAGATATCGACGACTCGAAAGAGTTATATTCTGATTGGCATTGATCGCCGTGCGGCTAACTAAATGGCAGGATTTGAATGACGCTATTATGGCGTCAGGAGTGCTTGGGTGACCTTGAAACAGTATTTCCAAAATCCAAACATAGTGTGCACACCTTCACGGGCGTGTAAGTCAGAAGCTCCGAGGGGTTTAGGTGTTAAAAGGACAGGGTTATGAACCGCACCGAATGATCTCCAAGATGGCTATTTCGGTTCAAAACGCGATACAAATGTGAAGCACTTTCTTTGATATTTTTGGATGACGTTTTCCGTACACAAAAACAAACCACAATATACGAAACTCAAATTGCGAACTTCGACAGAAGTTGCCGTGGTTTGTGGCGGAGCCGTCCCGTCCCGATGTGGCGACTTGTGACCGCGTCCGGCTCAGCTGTGGCAAACAGACAGGCAAGAAGCCCATCGGCTTTGAACGAATTGTGGGAGAAGGTTAGATAAAACAGCCTTTCAGAAGCATCTTGGTAATTGCAAATGCACCTAGCATTGTTAGTTGAACTGATATAGGAGCAATTAGACTCATTCGATGCGAAATATTATCCGGTGTCTGTGGTCAGTTGCGACCCATTGCGAAAAGCATGAATTAAGTCTACTTTGTGGATCGGGCCGCAGAATGCACTGATGCCGGTAATGGAGTCTCGTGAAAATGGCTTAGGAGGTCAAACTTATCTTAAGAGGATAAAGGACATCTGAATTTTTCCGGAATACCTCTCCAATGTTTTCAGCAATGGGTCTCACGTGCTATTGGCGAAGGTATCTTAAGATTAACGGAGGAGGGCATGACCCCTTAAAGAGACGCGAAGTGGCGCCGATGATTGATCAATCATGAATGCATATAAGACCGCGTGGTGCTACACTTGAACTGTACCTCAGATGTTTCCGAAACCGCGAGCCGCCACTTGTGTCTGTGGGGAGGGGCAGGGGTTGGAGGGGAAAGTGACAGGTGATGGTACGCCTTAACACGGGGAGGGCCAGGACCAATTCACCCCATAGGACCAATGTCCTCCCCTATTCCGCTTAGTTTCACCGCCTGTTTCCATACATAATGCAATATGTTCACCCTTTGGACTACATTATTCGTATGTAATGTATTGCTGTCATTGTCCAACGATTAACAATGAAAGAGGAGAGTGACCAAGACCCCAAGTCGCATGAGCTCTAAGTGTTACACCCCAAGGGGGATCCGGGATGTCGTTAAGAAGAGGGGGAGGGACACACAACATTGCAGGCCCCCTGGAGTTTGGGACCCCCTCCAAAATACCTTATTCTGGGCATTCAATTTAAAGATTCTTATGTATGCTAATCGGAATATAGGAGCTTATCTCACTGTGCATGGCTCTAGAAAACTAGGCGTGCTACGTATGTACATACATGGAGCAATTTTTCTCCAGGTCACGGTGAATCATGCCATTTGGAGGTTAAGTGTCGCGGAGAAAATCTGATAAAATGAACAAATTTTGGCTGGTAAATGCCATCAAAATCAAGCAAAACACCTGATACTGAGGTTATTTACGGTTAGCTGGCTAGTTGATGTGATCAGCTGATGACTGATGTCTAATGCAGAGCCTTGGTTTGGGCTGTTATGAGAGTGTACAAAACATCCTGGCATTCACCATGTGTTAAGGGCGTGATGCGCGTGCATCACAAGCGTCACGAGTTCAATAACCAACGGAAGTTACGCATACCACGTCGACAGCGCGTAGAACCATATTCGACAATTGCGCGTACAAATTTTAGGCGTATATCCAATTGCTGCTCTAAAGCCAAGGCGCCAAGGGAAAGTGCCATCGTGTAGATCTTGGACTTGTGTGCCTGAAGTGATTTGTCCGGGCCCATACAGGCGTACACAAGAGCAGGCGAAACGCACTGGCGCCCGCAAGCAATGGTGTGGCTCTCGGCAGCAGAGTAACATCTTGCTGACTTCATCAGCGGAGCTCACGACTATGTGGAGTGCCCCGGAGCGCTGGAGCGTGCTCCGTTCGATGAACATTCAGGTCCCCGTCAAAGGGCTAGGCCCTCCGATAAAATGGGAAAACGCAAGATCAATGGGGACAGCAATTGAGCTATCGAGCGTACCGCGGCAGGCCGACAAAGAGGCTCCCGTCAATAGTAGAGGGCCCTTAGAGCGAGCGAGCTCTGGAGCAAATCAGTGTGGAGGGTTCCTGAGCCATGAGTGAAAAAAGCTTCTGATTTACCGGATATAATCAGTGACAAATGCTAACATTTTTGCAGATCGATTGGCGACAAAGTTGCGAAAATGAGGACAAATTTCGACAGAGCAGAACATATAACAACAGGACATCCTAGCTAGCCGAAACCCAAAGCTTAATGTTGGTCTGTACTCGCTAACGCTTTCAACGTTAGCTTGTGTAGAGCACATGTCGAAGCGTTAACGTTTCGCTGTATGAGCAAGTTGAGTCATAAAATGCTGCCAAGCAGAGTAGCTTCAGTCGGGAAAGTTTGTAGCAAGTGACGGAAACACCACAAACTATATATGCGCTGATGTCATAGATAAGTGGTGTCAGAGTGCTTTTCCAAGAGCCCTCAGATCAGTGTTTTTCACGGATTTTTCATCCAAAGATTCTATCACACACTAAACAGCAAAGAATACCAAATAACTAGGTTGATTACTAGTCACAAGAATCTTGGCTGGCCACAGCATCTTGCGGCGAACATGATCAGTTTGCCGTGCAGCGTTTTAAATCGTCGCGCCACTTAAGACAGATGGGCTCGGTTGCTCACCATACGGTGTTGCGTTGGGTTCAGCGCAAGGCTGTGGGCTGCTGTTGGTTGCGCTCATGTCATGAGAAGCTGACTGGCTGGAAGAACGCAGCTAATCGTCAGTTTTTAAGGTAATGGCGTTAAAAAGCCCTGCCGATCTAGGAGGATTGTTGTTTGTGGATACTTGAGCTGTAGCTTCAAAAGTAGACGGACGTCGTCGGAGCGGAACATGTCAGGGATTAATCCGGAGCTTCCTGCTGCTGAAAGAAATGGCGGCTTTGAGGTAAAAGGCCGAGCATCGCTGGTGTAGACCTGTCGCATTGTCCATTGCACCTCAGCCTTAGCGTACTGATCGGTGGACAGGCGTGAGGTAAACGTTTTAATTGTCCCCATATTGCATACAAAACTAAATGAGGGTGCGAGAGATGTTTAAAACAAAATTTCAACCGTTGATGCCAATAGTGTATGCCTTTCGCTCTACGTAATTGGGGCAATGCCAGTAAGTGCGAGCTCTGCACCGGCCATGATAATGCGAAATGATAACACGGAAATAATAAAGGTCACCAACGCTTCCAGCTGATTGCGCGATGACGTTACAAAACCCGAAGTGATATTGTTTCAGATGCTTGTAGAACCATGTTATCTGTGAATGTAGGGCTACAGGGATGTATTTTTGCAAAATACGTGAGGATGGGAAAGGGAGGGGAAGGGGCATGAAGTGCAGGAAGAAAAATGGCTGAGCCTGCCTCCAAAATGCACTTAGAACAGTTTCTCCCCAGGTTTGACGCGCTTTTTTCACAGCCGGGAGCAGGGATGTGATTTTTCAAAATTAATTGCGGGGGTAGGCTGAATCCACACAAATTATTATAACTAAAAAATAATGTATAAAAAGTGATAACTTGACTTGGAAACAACTACATCCCTGGTTAGGAGGCACAATCCAACCTCCCCTCCCCCCAAACCGACAAGCAAAACACTCCTTTAGGTGGTTATGTTAAGCACGTCTTTATCAGATAATTCTATTAATTTCGTCTCAATTATCATTCAGTGCTTGCTGCCCGGCAAATGGGATAAACCACCAAAAACGAAGACAAATTAAATGCAACGAGGTATATGAACATCAAACACTTGGGTTTTGGGAGCTCATTTGCACTAAATTAAGAATTATTTTGAAGCAATTTCTGAAAGATTTGGTTCCAGGTGACAACTTAGACAGTTCCAAATTTCGTCGTTGACAGGAAAGGCAGTTTTTCACCCCTGTCAAGAGTATCGAGTGTCTCAGTGCGTTATTTGTGTGGGCCCCAGCAACAGCTCGGGCTGCTCTACCCACTTAGCGAGCCGCAAAACAGCATAAAATATGTGAGCCTCTGAAAACCGGAAGGTGCTGTGCAGGCTGCTACGCTTAAAAGTGACCCCAGAAAGAAACTGACGGTCACGTCAAGGCTTCGGACTTATGTAATATCTTCGATAGTGTGCTCTCCCTTAAGCAAACCGATAAATCTGACAGGCGATAAATCAAAACCCCATAGACGCTGCATGTGACAGATGGGTGATTGCTGACCTGACAAAGTTGATAGACACAACTGGAAGTCAGTTGTAATGTCACTGAGACCGTTGTTAACCTATTTGACCATTCAACAGAAAAGAGGAATACTCGCAAAGTCCCTGGCTACTTCCAAGTATCAATTGCTCCTTACACGGCCGGCACGCGATGCACGCCCGCGACACGGATGGCGTCATCTAGCGCAGCGCCCCTTCCGTGCAGAAGACACCGCTGTGGAACCTCCAATCCGGAGATTCCTCCGAAACTGAGACGGCGGCTGACCGGTCCGGGGGTTTTGCGCTGTGACGCGGCGGCCAGGCGGATATAAGGTAGCGCCGAACGGACCAGCCACGTCAGTGATCGGCTCTCGCTCCGCTCCGCCGCCCGCCAGCTCCGCAGACACAGGTGAGACGAGCCACGGCACACGGCGCCGTCCGCCAACAAACAGAATGCAACGAATTGCTGTCTTACGGACTCGCTGGCCAAGTGCATTGCATGGCGTACGTGATGCACGACCAATTTCTCGGCGGCATGGACCATCGACGAATCCGAGTTCCGGAACGAGTGGCTGCTTTAGCCGTTGAGCACCATAGCACCTCAGACTCTTCAGCATACCATTTATGGTCTCTCGGTCGCCTGTGATGAAGACCCCTCTCCTGCTTGGGGAAATAGGATCTACGGTCTCTTATATCCCTTTACCGCCCATGTTGCAATTTGGATGACCCGATGTGCAGGTTGAACCACGAACACCGTGTCCCGCGGCCTCCCACGTTTAATCACCCTGGCCTCGTCTTTGAAAGACGGCGTCACCCCACCCACTTTGGCGTATTGGCCCCCTACTATTGTCAGCACTTGTTGACCTAACCCTTAAAGCTATCATCACGTATCTAATACCATCGCGTGGTTGGAGTCAACACAGGGCATTCTGGAGGTATCGGCAGCTAGCCCAGATGTCTCAGAGCTGAACTCAACTGAACTGCAGCTAAACAGCGCCTCTCCGTTGCAGACATGCTTCGCTCCGGTATGCTGACGCTGGCCTGTCTGGCCGTGGCGCACGCGCTACCCTTCGACCCGTTCTCCTTCTTCCCGCCCAGCACCGCGACCGGCACGTCTTCGGGCACCATCACCTCGGGCGAGACGGTAGGGCAATCCGGTGCGTCCAGAGTCGAGCAACTGCAGGCTGGGACCGGAGGTCGCACGGAGGGCGGCGGCTTCAACTTCGGCAACGCCTTCGCTACTCAGCAGCGCGAGGCGGGGCTCCTCGGGAATGCGAACGCTGCTGATACGGGCGCCACGTCGGTGCAGGAAACCTCCCCAATTGGCGGCGGCTTCCCCGTTGGCTTCCCCGGCGGCTTCCCCGACGGCTTCCCCGCTTTCAAAAATCCGTTCGGCACGGCTGAAGGCAAGGCGAACGCCGCTCTCACCACGGGCGAGACCGTCAACATCGACGGCTCCCGGAGCAAGATCACCAGTCTGGGCTCCAGCGCCGGCGGCAGTGCTGAGAATGGCGGCATATCCATTAGCGGAGCCTCTGGCAAGACGTCCAGCACCGATGGCATCTTCGGCAGCACCGATAGTTCGGAGGTCAAAGCTGAATCGGTGCAGGCAGGCGGGAGGTAGGCCCCCTCCCCTCCCCCCGATGTGATATGCCTGGCGCCGCCTCTGCACGGCCGCCGCGCACCGCTGGCGGCGCTCGTCAGCCGCAGACAGTCGTGCGCAGGCGCGTCAGAGCTTTTGTTTCGGCGGACCGGAACAACGACACTGTCGGAACGCCTCGGACCGGCTGTCCTTGAGGAGGTCACGACCGGGTCCACGACAGAAACCGTGTCACGCCGTCGCTTGCACGAGCTCTGCGTTTGAGGCGTCATGTAAAATTGTACGACACAGCAGGGTGTAGCGAAATATAAGAGGAATAGTACCCGGATGATTTGCCGAACGATGATGTGAAGTCTGATGACACGCAATGTATGCGTGTACTGAAAGGTAGAATTAGGCTGGGCTTCGCAAGATTCGTTTACGTAATCTAATGCTTTGAATAAGTCCATAATACTAAAGCTTTTTTGCTTGAAGTCTCAGCCGAAGGGTAAAAATCGAAGGTTTTGTCAAGACCAAAAATGGGCTCAAACGATGCTAACTCATCGGGTTCAAAAGCTTGGAGCGAATTTATTAGTTCATGAATGGTAGTAATAGAATTGTGATAGATTCCCATGACATATAGTAGGCGTTTAGTCATCTATACCTTAAATGGGTGCATTTCATCCAGCATGTGTCCCATTTACAGCAAGCATAGATCATTCTAAGCTTGCAAGCCATTCAAAAGATATTGGCGAGACTTTTGCAAAATATGCCGAACACACGCACATAACGAGTGTTTTCAATGTTAAGCTGCGCTCATTTGTTGTTGTTGACATATAAGAGTATAATTGGCGACAATGTGACTTGGAAATATTTTTTGTAAACGTGTCTCTGTCGCATATATCGTACGTCATACACAAATGTGGTCACGGCTCAGTGACGGTGTCAGCTGCTTTTGGCAGTCTGCCAAATCCGCAAGTCGAAAAATAACCGAAACGCCGGCAGAAGTCAGGTTCACGGCTGATGTAGTCTCCACTCAGCGAAGCACGACAGCACGAGCGCGAAGGCTATGTCGTGAAAGCCAAGGCCAAGCACGAAGGCCATGTCACGAAGGCCAAGGCCAAGCACGAAGACCATGTCACGAAGGCCAAGACCAAGCACGAAGGCCACGTCTAAGATGTCCCAGAAATGTATTGCTTGATTATCGGATGCGTGAAATCTATCTGACACAATATTTGGTCCGCTGACCTAGGGGTCATGCTTTCAATAATGTTACGAAATCAGCTTCGGTTGATACCGCAGTGTTACAATGTTGTACCAGCAACGAGCCTCGAGCGCTAGCTCCGCGCAACGCTGGTCGTTACTGTCGTCGCATACTTGGTGTCCAGTGTCAAATCCTCGTGAGGTGCGCATGCATCGGCTTCAGTGGGCCTCAGGGCAGCCTGGGAATTGAAGTACGATCAGCTGAATAGTGGGTTACACGAGTGTGGTTCCAGTGTGGAACAACGCATTTCACGGCGATTGACCTCAATATCACTTCTTCCGTTCAACAGATTACGACATATGCCTGGATATTACGACTAGTCTAAGCATTGTATATGTTCTTAGTGCTGCAGAACGAAGAAATTACGCAAGACAACATCCCCATCCCTCCGTAACGCCAATGGGTGTCAACACACCGCTGCGGACTTACTGCAGTAATTGAACATGTCGACGATTTTGCAGCGGCATTCAGCAGTACCACAGAAAAACTCACTCGCTATCATGATTTCGCTGAGGAACAAACGCGGCTGTTGGGAACAAAAGCCTTTATTGTGCTTCATGCAGTTGTTGCTGTCGCCGACTTTGCCGAAAATCATTGTTATATTGCGCTGGATGCCGCCCAGGAAGAAACTTGGGGAAATGTGAGCGCGCTGTTTGAGCATTCAATGACTGCCAGGCCGGTCAACGTGGAAGGACGCAACACCAAAGTTTGTGCATGCTATCTGGCTGCACCACATATAACGCTGCACGTGTTTATAAAACATTTCTTCATCCGCTTCATCCGATTTACCTCCGTATTAAGAGATCAGGAATTTCTCTGTTGTCTGTGCGGAGCAAAACAAGGGTATTGTCATAACACACGCCAGGGTGGGAGGTTCAATGCCGCACGCTTTTGTGAGGAAGCAAAGTCGGCCTCCTGAGATCTCAATAGCTAAGAAGTATATACACACCAAACCCTCAGTGTCGATAGAGGTCTCTGAAATGGCATTTGTTTCTAGTTTTGTACATCGCTCGCTTATGGCCGGCGGGTCTAATAAGGTGAAAAAGGTCAACTCCACATCAGTGTCCAAAGTGTCCTCAGACCGCCTCACGCAACCATTTTCGACAGATGCTTTTTACAAGCTAGAGGTCACTAAGTTTCATATCACTTCAGTAACGTTGTTTGGCCTTTGGAAGGAAAAATACTGAAAATTGATGAAGATAATCTTAATATTTGTATACACCATCGGTGCTAGGTACTTCCCATCGCGGCATAATCCTCAAAGCACAAGATTGGTCCGGGTCACTTAAGGTATTGACCTCCCCTGGCTTTCATGAAGTCAAAACAAGTAATCTTTTCACGTCCTTGTAATTCAAGAACGCGAAATGATCGTCCAAAAATGTTCCATAAGGCAAATTGTCCAGTTGTAAAGCTGTTTGGTTTTAACCTTGATCTGACCTTCATGTCTGACACAAAAGCCAATGTAATCAGTTGTAACCATAACTGAAATTATATCATTGTCTAAGAAACTATCTCAAGGTGGTATAACTACGTATAACAATCCCTTGTCGCAACATCTTGAGCGATTTCCTATGAGCTCTCTTCGCTGACAGCAATGGCCGACTTTGACCTGTTGTAGGCCAGCGGCCGCACGAGGTGTGCCTAGTTTTGGCACCAAACGATCGGTTATTCAATTGCGTACAGATAAACACAGTTTGGCGCATCTGCGCCGCGGCGTTCCGAAATCATTATGGGAAAAACCCGCGGGTTGGGTCCATTTGATTCCCGATCTGAGCACGGCTTAACCTGACTCTTCGTTATACACTATTGCGTAATGCTACACATATTGTGACCACCTAAGCGGATTTTCGGCGCACCTCATGAAAAACGGCAAATGGCGTCATTGGGGGACGGTGAAGCTGTGGCCCGTGCTGTTGCGTGTCACATTCTCCGGGCTGCAAAGATGTACGAATTTGAAAGACAGAAAATGACCACGGGTGTCTGGTTATTTATCATCAAAAGAATCAGACACGCAGCCATGACCGAGAAGCTTGCTGCACGATTATCTGCAGCCTGACAATTGCAGGCACTCAACAACAACACCGGTTTGTTCAGTGGGAAGGAGGGCAAGTGATCGATGGCCATACATCACCAACCCAGTGACGATGGGTGAGTTCTTCTGTTCATAACTGGAAAAGGCAGGGCCCGGTCTTAAGACACTGGAGCAGTGGTGAAATCGAAATTATCAATCATTTTCAATACTGCATCCTGAACATTAGCAGGCCCTGGGAAAAACTTAGCGTGTTCCTTAGCATTGTTTAGTGCTGTTTTGCTCACAGACGTAAAAACGTTTACAACACAGTGGGCGGGGGGGAGGCAGGATCAGGGCATACTTAGCAACGTCTCCCGAGAGGCAAGCCAGTGCGACCTGGACAGGGGGGGGGGGGGGGAGGGCGGGATGGAGGACTTTGTCCACTCTATCCATTCACCGAAGCACATTTTTCAGATAATTAAATGTCCTGTTTCTATGCTATATATACACACCTGCAGCTTTTTTGCTGGTATACAATCTTGTCTTCTTAACTCATCTATGCCGTTCGGCAAACAAGGATACCCAGTTTCCTAAAATGACGCATCTGTTTCAGCATTGTTTTCACTGGGAAGTCAAAGATTCCTTTTTCTATTATCCATTTTCAAAACTGTACCATGAACATCCGCAAGGCTTGGATAAAACTGAGCGTTTCCTTTATCAGCACTGTTTTACCCACAGACATAGAAGCGTTTCAAACAGTGGAGGGAGGAGGATGGGGACAGGATCAGGGCACACCTAAGAACGTCTCCTGAGAGGCAAGCCGATGCGACCGGTGCGGAGGGGGGCGAAAAGGAGGACTTTGCTCGCGCGCATAATTCATCCAAACAAATTTTTTAGGAAAGTAAATGCTCTGTTGCTATGCTACATATGCACCTGTAGCTCTTTTTGCTGGTACACACCCTTGCCTTCTCGACTCCTCGATGCCGTTCGGCAAGCAAGAATGCCCAGTTTCCTAGAATTACGCACCCGTTTTAGCACTGTTTTCACTGGGAAGTCAAAATCCTTCAGCGGGGAGGCACTTTCGGTCCGTCGGGAGTCATCTGCCTTCAGCATTTGCATGCCAAAATAAACCGTAGCACAGAATGGGCCGGAGTTTTCACTCAAACCTATTTGAAAATCCTATCACGTTTTATAAATCTCGACTTCGCCAACTTCTTTTCAAGAGGTGAGCATCAAATCGGTTTGCTTGCCCAGCACCGACAATGGGTGATAAAAAGGCGTTTAATCCCTTACAAACGGTTTAATTGCAGCTACCATTCTAACGAGTACGACAGTACCTGCAAACGGAAAAGTTAGTCTCTGCATGCGCGGTTATTGTCACTACAGTTACGCAGATGTAAACAGAAATCATGCCATGCTGCGAACACGTCCGCCCAAGATTCCATGTGACAGCACGGATAATATGACACCCTTCGTGCACTGCGACGAACGAGTCACCCTTTATCTATTGAAAATGCTTACTGTACTAACTTATTTCAGGAAGAGTTGGCGTTTCATCTGCTTTCCATTGCCAATTTTTCATGCGGCTCCGTAAGGTTACCATGATCACGCGATGTGACTAAACATTTTAGTCGCTGTTTGAAATGACGAATACTGTTGCGTATATCTACTGTGTGATCACCATTCCTATCTTCGTTTCTTGACAAGGACATCTGATGTTTAGATATTTCATGGCATGGCCCGAAAAAAGATGACTTAACTGCTAACAGAATGTTTTCGATTGATATTTGATGTGTGATATTTCATGCAATGAGAAATATTGTTCATCTAGTGTTTGTCTCACAGGTCACTATCTCCTAGGACGGCATCCGTTTGGTTTTCAGTCGTTGCGAGCTTGCGATGAAGGAGGCGTTGGGAATCACCAATGTATTTATATTTGTTATTGGGAATCACCAACGCATTTATATTTATTGCCGTTCTCTCAGTCGCATGAGAGTGGTTGAGACTACCGACTCCACCACGTGGTGAGTGCCTGGCGTTTAGTGCAAGAGCTGATCAATTATTTGACCCGGAAGATGCCAAACGGCGGGAGGCGAAAAGATCCCCACAGCCATGTTAGTGGACGAGAAAAATTACATTTTTACGACCATGCGGCGCGGCATGTGAATGCACGGAAAATGTCTGCTGACGGTTTCCGGCAAGACATGGGGTATTGTAGTCCAAAGCAGTTGTGCCTACAAACTGTTCGGACTTAAATCAGAAACAAATGGCCAATGTGTTTTCGAATAAACGACATGGATGATGTGGCCAATACTAGCAGCACTCAGACCATAATGAGAGGCGACATCGCTCTTCTCCAAAAGCTTTGTTAGGGTCCTTGCCCTTGCCTTGCTTCGGAAAGAGCCTGCTAGGGCCTAGACCGGCACGGAATTGACTGTTTGGTATTGGTGGTCTCAGTCAGCTGATATAGGACTCTCACTGTCTCGAGGGCCTGCGAGCGGTGCAACATGTCATTTTACTGATATTTGAGGGTCAGGACTGGGTTACCTTGGATATGACCTTCGGCCAGCCCATCTGACCTTCCGATCGGGTGTTTCGTCGTGTGCCCCGTGGGCGTTGATATATGGCTTCTCCTCAAAAATCAAGACCTTGGGCCACTGGTGGTGCCTGGAATTTGTCGTCACTTCAAAATGAAGGTTTTGCTGCCCTTTGTGATGTGCTCTGGAATTGGGTGCGTCTTGCAAATAAAGATTATGATGACCGAAAGGGAAAGCTTTCTGTGTCCTGCGCCGAAAGGGGCTGATCCAGGATTTCGTCAGGGTGGGGGGGGGGGGGGGGCAAGGAAATTGTGGTGTACCTTTATTTGGTGCCACCTGAAATAAAGCCTTCGTCGCCCATTGAATGGCCCGCTTGAAGCTGCTGCCTTTGGAGAACAATGTTAAGGCATCCCGGATTCAATGTTTTGGTGCTCGTTCCTCGAATGCCTGTCCAAGGATTCAGTCAATAGAAAGGCACGGGTATAGTATGGTGTACCTTGAAATTTGCTACCTCTTCAAAATAGAGCTTTCGGGGCCCCGTCGTTTTGGTGCCAAACTGGAATAAGGCGGCTCTGGATAATAAAGTTGATGATGTCTCGAAACGAAGATTTTGAGGCTCCTCCACCAACCGGACAAATCCAGCATTTTGTCAGGACGAACGGTAAAGCAACTGTGGTCTCACCGGATTTCAGCCTACTTCAAAATAGGCGTTTTGGGCTCTTTAAATGGCCCGCCTTGGTTTAGTTCCCGATGAAAATAAAGATTGCAGTGCCCAAAATGTCTCATTCAGAAATCCGAGGGTAAGAAAGCTTTGGTGCCTCCTCTCGCAAGCGGCCGGTCCTGGAATTCGTCAGGGTGGGAGACGGAACATTGTTCTGCCCATGGAATCCCGTACCTTTTAATAATAAAGCTTTGGAGCCTTTGTGGTGCCACCTGGATGGAGGTACACCCGAAAAATGAATGTTGCGGTGCACTGGAATGCAAGTTTTGGTGCCCCGTCAAACTGTGATTTTAGTGCTCCCTCGAGGCAGTTAAACCTTATTGTGCCCCAAGGGGCAGGGCATGGCCCCATGCACCCTTCCCATGCAGATTATTAATCATTGCCATTGTGCAGGGTACTTAATGACGCAAAATAAATCTTGATACGGGGAAATGACAAGATGGGACTGACTGAGAAAACAAGAGAATATTCACCGCTCACCTGGTGGTCCCTGTCGTAGTACTTCTTCGTTTGGCGAGAGCCCCAGGATAGCTCCGTGTCCGCTGTCCCTGATCCTCGAGCTGTGAACTCCGCAGGAATCTTGGGCATAAAACAAAAAGCGGAAGCTTTGGAAACCGTGGCCATAAACCTAGTTCCAACAAGAATCGAAGAAAGAGTTTTGAGAGAAGGTAAGATCAAATACACGATTGGACAGCGTGTTGGCAAAGCGCAAAACTCTTAGCCGTAACCTAATGTAAAGGATTACTATTGCTATTTGACATGAACATGTTCGATGTTATGTTAAGTATTGTGAACTTATTTTGAAAAACATGCATGAAATGCAACACATGAACTATGTCGTAAATCCACTGTAGTCCTAGTCCTTTCCAAACAGGGGCATGGTCGGGGGACCAGGTCTCTGCTCCCAAATATAGCAATATGTGCGACTGGGCTTAAATGGTTTCACCAATTAAATCGTGGAGACCGACCCTCCGTGCATTCAGATCCAGCCCCGCTCTGAAGCAAAGAAGCTGTCCCCCCCCCCCCCCCCACTTGGGTCATGATCGGCGCATCACCGGGCATCTCCTCGTCCGGTCTGACACGTCGTGCAAACTGGGTCAGCCATATTAGTTGACCTCCATCCGATTTTGGAGCGACACCCCGATCATCAGTTAACCATCCTAATGCGCCACATTTTTAACACATTAGTAAAAGTGCACAGCACAGCTTAAGTACGGCAAATGTTGACTTACTATCAAATACCCTCCACCTCCACCTCCCGAAACGCTCTGCCGCAAGCGATGCACGTTGACGGAAATTCAGGGTGTTCGAGAATGTTCATGTGCGACGAAAAGATGAATCCATCAAAGCTTAATTCACGCTGCTTTTATGGAACAAAATTGCTCCAATATGCAGTACTTAACCATAGTGACGTTGTTGTCTGGCACCTGCAAAGTGCACGAAAACAGCATTGTTCGTGTCATCATTTAATTGAAAGAAACATAATTATTTCGCAGCATGTTTCAGGAATACTTTGTAATACTTAGTATCGCTTTTTCAAACGTTGCAATAATCTCATGCAGAAATTACTTTTCCTAATAATATTATCAACACATCACATGAGATTCAACAAGACTTTACTGTTACTACTAGAAGTCAGTTGTAATGTCACTGGGACCGTTGTTTTAAAGTTTTAAATTAGCGGAGAGTCCCAAAGTCTCCGCAAGAGGGCCGTCCCTCCTCACGGTCTCCTGAAATGACAAACTGGTCTCAGATGAAACCATATAGCAAGAGGTCTCATTGTGGAGACTGTGAAGCATCTTCCAAGAGGACTTACGGTGTAGGTTCTCAAAATCAGCTTTCAGTGTATGCAAACAAATGAATCCGCCAGGCATTTGCCAAACGTTTCAAAACCCAATACGCGTCCCATTTAGTAGATGGGTGATTGCTGGTCTGACAAAGTTGATAAACACAGCTAGAAGTCAGTTGTAACTGTCACTGGGACCGTTGTTAACCTATTTCACCATTCAACAGAAAAGAGGAATACTCGCAAAGTCCCTGGCTACTTCCAAGTATCAATTGCTCCTTACACGGCCGCCACGCGATGCACGCCCGCGACACGGATGGCATCATCTAGCGCAGCGCCCCTTCCGTGCAGAAGACACCGCTGTGGAACCTCCAATCCGGAGATTCCTCCGAAAATGACACGGCGGCTGACCGGTTCGGAGCCTTTGCGCTGTGACGCGGCGGCCAGGCGGATATAAGGTAGCGCCGAACGGACCAGCCACGTCAGTGATCGGCTCTCGCTCCGCTCCGCCGCCCGCCAGCTCCGCAGACACAGGTGAGACGAGCCACGGCACGCGCCGGGGCTACCACACGGCGCCGTCCGCCAACAAACAGAATGCAACGAATAACTGTCTTACGGACTCGCTGGCCAAGTGCATTGCATGGCGTACGTGATGCACGACCAATTTCTGGACGGCATGGACCATCGACGAATCTGAGTTCCGGAACGAGTAACTTCTTTAGCCGTTGAGCACTATAGCACCTCAGACTCTTCAGCATACCATTTATGGTCTCTCGGTCGCCTGTGATGAAGACCCCTCTCCTGCTTGGGGAAATAGGATCTACGGTCTCTTATATCCCTTTACCGCCCATGTTGCAATTTGGATGACCCGATGTGCAGGTTGAACCACGAACACCGTGTCCCGCGGCCTCCCACGTTTAATCACCCTGGCCTCGTCTTTGAAAGACGGCGTCACCCCACCCACTTTGGCGTATTGGCCCCCACTATTGTCAGCACTTGTTGACCTAACCCTTAAAGCTATCATCACGTATCTAATACCATCGCGTGGTTGGAGTCAACACAGGGCATTCTGGAGGTATCGGCAGCTAGCCCAGATGTCTCAGAGCTGAACTCAACTGAACTGCAGCTAAACAGCGCCTCTCCGTTGCAGACATGCTTCGCTCCGGTATGCTGACGCTGGCCTGTCTGGCCGTGGCGCACGCGCTACCCTTCGACCCGTTCTCCTTCTTCCCGCCCAGCACCGCGACCGGCACGTCTTCGGGCACCATCACCTCGGGCGAGACGGTAGGGCAATCCGGTGCGTCCAGAGTCGAGCAACTGCAGGCTGGGACCGGAGGTCGCACGGAGGGCGGCGGCCTCAACTTCGGCAACGCCTTCGCTACTCAGCAGCGCGAGGCGGGGCTCCTCGGGAATGCGAACTTTGCTGATACGGGCGCCACGTCGGTGCAGGAAACCTCCCCAATTGGCGGCGGCTTCCCCGTTGGCTTCCCCGGCGGCTTCCCCGACGGCTTCCCCGCTTTCAAAAATCCGTTCGGCACGGCTGAAGGCAAGGCGAACGCCGCTCTCACCACGGGCGAGACCGTCAACATCGACGGCTCCCGGAGCAAGATCACCAGTCTGGGCTCCAGCGCCGGCGGCAGTGCTGAGAATGGCGGCATATCCATAAGCGGAGCCTCTGGCAAGACGTCCAGCACCGATGGCATCTTCGGCAGCACCGATAGTTCGGAGGTCAAAGCTGAATCGGTGCAGGCAGGCGGGAGGTAGGCCCCCTCCCCTCCCCCCGATGTGATATGCCTGGCGCCGCCTCTGCACGGCCGCCGCGCACCGCTGGCGGCGCTCGTCAGCCGCAGACAGTCGTGCGCAGGCGCGTCAGACCTTTTGTTTCGGCGGACCGGAACAAAGACACTGTCGGAACGCCTCGGACCGGCCGTCCTTGAGGAGGTCACGACCGGGTCCATGACAGAAACCGTGTCACGCCGTCGCTTGCACGAGCTCTGCGTTTGAGGCGTCCTGTAAAATTGTGCGACGCAGCAGGGTGTAGCGAAATATAAGAGGAATAAACCTGTGATGATTTACCAAACGATTATTTGAACTCTGATGACACACAAGGTATGCGTGTATTGAAATGCAATGTTCTGAGTGCTGCAGCACCAAGAAATTACGCACGACAGCATCCCCACCTCTCCGTTAATGCAGTGGGTGTCAACAGACCGTTGCAGGCTTGTGAAGGTGATTGAACATGTCAATTTGATAGCGTCGGCCAGCAGGATCGCAGATAATCCCTCTCGTTATCATGATTTTCCCAAGGAACAAGCGCTGTTGTTGGAAACAAAGGCCTTGATCGTGCTTCATGCAGCTGTTGTTGCCACCGAATTTGCCGAAAATCATCTGAAAATATGCTAACATCATCGTGAAAAATATAATATCTATTCGTTGCCAGCGTGGAAGACCTTAAGAATGTCGTCATACCCGCACCAGGGCGGCAGGTTGAACGCCACGTGATTGGGTGAGGAAGCGAAGTCGCTCTCCTGAGACCGCAATAGCTTAGAAGTATAGGCACCAGACCATCAGGGTGGACAGAAGTTCATGAAATCTCATTTGTTTCCAATTTTGTATATTCCTGGCTTGTCGCCGTCGGGCCAAATAAGGTTAAATACTTCACATCACTGTCCGAAGTACCCTCAGACCTCCTCACACAATCATCTTCAACATGGATGCTTCTTGTGAGCCAAGGGGCACTGGTGTTTATATCAGTTCAGCGACGTTATTTGACCACTTAAATGAAGAATATCCAAAACCGATTCGGACAGTTTTGATATTTCTCTGTGCGATTAGTGCCAACTACTATCCAAATTGGCGTGCTTCTCAAAACAAGATTGTACGGGGTCACTTAATGTCACTGACCTCCTCTGGCTTTCATGAAGTAAAAACAAGTAATCTTTTGACGTCCTCGTGATCCAAGAATTTGAAATGAGCGTCCAAAAATGTCCCATAAGGCAAATTGTTCCGTTTTAAAGCAGTTTGGTTTTAGCCTTGATCTGCCCTTCATATTTGACCCAAAAGCCAATGTGACTAGCTGTAGTCACAACTGTAATTGTAGCATTGTCTAACAAACTATCTCAAAGTGGCATGGCAACGTGTAACAATCCCTTGTCGCAACATATTGAGCGATTCCCTATCAGCTCTCTTCGCTGACAGCAATGGCCGACTTTGACCTGTTATAGGCCAGCGGCCGCACGAGGTGTGCCTAGCTTTGGCATCAAACGATCGGTTATTCAATTGCGTATAGATAAACACAGTTTGGCGCATCTGCGCCGCGGCGTTCCGAAATCATTCTGGGAAAAACCCGTGGGGTTGGGTCCATCTGATTCCCGATCTAAGCACGGCTTAACCTCACTCATTTATGCACATATTTTGCGACGCTAGCTGAGTAGATTTTTCGGCACGCCTCACCAAAAAGGGCATGTGGCGTCATTGGTGAACGGTGAAGCAGGCCGTGGCGCGCGAAACCCGGGCTCGCCCTGTCACGAATCACATTCTCCGAGCCACAAGGATATGCACGAATGTGAAAGACATGAAATGGCCGAAAGTCGTGATGATATTGAAATTATTATCCATTTTCAACACTGCAACCTTGACATCCACAGACCTTGGGTAAAACTTGGCGTGTACTTATGAGTACCGTTTTGCCCACAGGCACAGAACGTTTCAAAATGTAGAGGGGGAGGGGAGGAACGGTCAGGGCACACTTGGGAACGGCCCCCGAGAGGCAAAAAGGAGTGCTTTGCAAAAAGGAACGGCCCCAGTGCGAGAGAAAGGCGAAAAGGAGTGCTTCGTCCGCGCTCTTAATTCATCATGACACATTTTTGAGGTAAGTAAATGTCCTGTTGCTATGCTGAATATACACCCGTAGCTATTTTGTTTACAGGTGCACAATCTTGCCTTCTCGTCCCATACATGCTGTTCAGCAAACAAGAATACCCAGTTTCTTAAAATTACGTTTTTGTTTCAGCACTGTTTTCACTGGGAAGTTCAAATTACATTAGCGGGGAGGCATTTTGGGTCCGTCGGAAGTCATCTGCCTCTAGAATTTGCATGCCAGAATGAAGGTAGTAAAGCACGGAATAGTCAGAATGTTTAGCTCAAACCCATCCCAAAATCCTAATATGTTTTATGAGCCTCGACTTCACCGACTTATTTTCAAGAGATGAGCTTTTGTTATGACATTTTCGGCAGAACGAATTTGACAAATTCAAACAAGGCCTGCCAAAAGCAATGCGTAGCGGTGGTAAAGCCTGCCAACTTGGTGGATAAGGCCGGCGACAAAAATGCATATATTCACGCAAAGCTTGGTGTCAAAAACGTTTTTGGAAAGCAAAGTTTGGTGACGGCCAAGACGAAAAATGCCGCACACTATGCAAAACATAACATGAGGTCTCCATACATAGATATCATGCCTGCATGGTTAAAAATTTCGTCACACACGAGCAAACGTTTCTGTAAAGACTATCGCACTCTACGGCACCATGGTATCTTTTCTAAATTTCATTCCAACCCGGCGACAAAGATGTCCTGTGATTTTTCGTTGGTCGGCCGGCTCAATGATAGGTCAGCGACAAAGCAGGGTATTTCCTGTGGCCCGTTTTTAACAGCCGACTCTTAGAGTCCCAAACTAGACAGTATGAAGTACTGAAAAAGTACTGAAAAATCTAGATATGGAGATTCATCTGGCCGCAAGGGCGTGTTTCAATCGTTGCGAAGGGACTGATATGAGGTGGGCGGTGCCTTTCAGTGTGCCGCAACCTTGCAAGTGGCATGCGCATTGCAGTTTTATGAATGCCTGCCCAGGGTTTAATTTCTGGCCTTGTTTACTTCGTTGGCTGTGCCGTGATTCAGCATCCTGTCTTCAGCGACGAGAGGCATTGACGGTGTAGGGTCGGCAGAATGATCCGATCAAGTTAGAAATTGATCTGTGATTTTTGAAACCACCTTTTCAAGACACCAAAAGGGCTGTTGACTCACTGAAGCATTCACAAGCGACCAGCCCTCTTCCCTTTCAAAGAACCGTGGCTTCGATGTTGAAGTCTAATGGCACTCCTCATGAAGGATAATAACAAGAGATGATAGTAGTTCTAAAATGCCTTTTTACCGTTTTGACATTTACCGCGCCAAAATGCCTTTTTTGATCTTGTCCTGATTGGGAATGATTGGCTGTCACATACATCTTCAAATCAGGGGAGTTCCTACTGTTTATTTAGTTCAGGGTTCCAGCCCTCCCGCTCTAAGTTGGTGAGGACGTGTGCTTGTCTGGGAGACATCCATATTTTGGGGTACATTGCATAAGTTTTTATTGCTCCCAAACCTATTTTTAAAATGTATGCTCCTGCATAAAATGCAATTATTTCATCAATATTTTGATGGCATTTAAATGATTATTCATAGCTCAAAACGCTAACATAAATATTGGTTGCTGTTAGCTTATACGATACCTAATGATGTAGGCCATGGAAAGGCAATGAAAGTGAGGAATGAAGTGATGTAGGAAGTGTAGGCAATGAGGAGGGGGGTAGGTTCAGGTTTCATTGCCATCTTACCCTTTACTAGGAATTTTACTTCAAATAGCGGTTGGTTGTGTGGTATTGTGGTTTAACTGTCCTATGAGGTCGGTGAAAAGCTGGCGTCCGGTTGTCTCTGAAAACAGTGTTGACTTTTTCCTGACGACAGCAGCCCTGCTGTAACAGGATAGCTTTGGAAGTCATTCAGTCGGCAATGCTCACTCATGTGCATATTTTCTTTGTACTTGTGAGCATGACATTGTATGGATGCAAATATGGTATGTTTCAGTACAGCTTTTGCTAACAATGAACTGTGGGGCATACAATTATTTACTACCGTAAACATTTTTTTGATAACGATTGAATGTATCTATACACTCAAGTACAGACTGTGCAGGCAGACAGGTTACATTGGTAGAAGAAATCAAGCTAGTTTGTGTGGTTACGTAAGTTGTTCAGCGCATAAGCGAGGAACGTTATTCACATAGCTAAGACAGCAGAATTATACTTATTTCTCGGAAAAAACAGGAGAATGGAAATATGATTAGGTTGATATTTTGGCAGCATGCCTTTATCGAAACCATAGCAGAAGTCTGTTTTTCCGAGAACTAAGGCTAATACTACTGTCTTATCTAGTTTGTGTGGTGATAGGATAATGACAGGAGTGCCAATTTTTGTGCATGATTTGGGGGAGATAGCAACCCATGGATTATGATCAATAAGTTAAGTCCTGAGAATATAGTTCTGTGTTATAGTTAGTTTTCTTCTCATGCCTTTTGGTAATTTTCCAGCTAGAAATGCTTCATCGGAGGAGGAATCAGCACTGAGGGGCCCAACCCAACCTAAATAATCAGTAGTGCCCCAGAAATTAATTTGAATAGATACTCCTGCATTATACATGACAAACATCATGGATAACCTTAGATTTGCATGCTACTTGCATCCAAAGGGCACTTTTGGCTTGCTGATTGAATTTCTACCAATGTTTGGGCGTCGATAATGACATGTGCCATTCTGCTGTAGCAGGAAATGTTTTCATGATCTGAAATGCAGATTTTTACACCAGCATATATGAAATGAATAAAAAAGGACGGCGCCAACAATTTCAACCCTCAGTCTGCTTCGCTGGTTTTCGTAGTGCTGACTGGCGGACCTCAGGGAGGTTCCTTGACGTTTGCAAACTAAGAATGGTAAGGCCTCACAAAAACAGTGACCTGTCTTTAGCGAGATCTCGTGATTGGTGAGAAGTCTCCGGTTGTTGACTGACCTCACTAGACCAAGTCGAAGGTAAAATTTTCTTGAAAACCAATCAGCTTTGCATGCTCATATATACGAAGCCATGCAGTGAAATGACATGGAACATAAAGAGGCGTGTCCATTGTTTAATTATGAGTACTATGGCATGTGGTTTTATCTGTTTGGAGCCCATATTTACAATGTAGGGTTTCGTTCATGTAAAAGTGCCAACCCTCCGTGCGCGGTCCGCAAAATTGTCGCTCGCTCCCGCCGCACCCGCCGGCCATGAACCGTCTTGCACTGGTCGTAAAAATGTCGCTACATTGAAACCAGAATTGGTAAGGGGCACTTTTTGGTGTCAACACCCGTACAATGGATGCCCCAGAGGCTACCAAAGCTTTGAGCAAGATTGCATTATATACCGCATTGGTATCCTCAGAAAACGTAAGGGGGGGGGGCGTCGCATCGTAGGGGGGGGGGGTATCCTCGTAGGTGGGAGGTGTCGCATTGCCCACCCTCCCCCTCCTGTAAGGGCGAGTAACTTGTTCAGAACGAGTGATGTGTCCGCCTGATGTGAAGTTATTAACATATTTTGACTCAATTTACTTGTGGGGCACGGCGAAAGGCGCCCACCAGTCAAAACA